TGTAGTCCAGTTTCCATCTGTGAGCTTCGACTTCTAGTGGAGCCTTTTCTGACGTGTCTGCCACTTCCGTTCAGAACGGGCATCGACTCCGTTGCCGATTGGTATCTTTGTCGTCGATCTTCGGCAGTCGTTGTTGTGCTGCTACCCCAATTATTCTAGGGTAAGAATAAAGGACGAAGCATAGTGGCAGACTCTTTTGCATAGAGAAATTTTTAAATATACTTATTTTAATCTTTAAATTAGTTATTTAAAATTTTTACTAGTCAGTGAAAGAAAGTGTATCATATTTTAAGTAATGTTAATAGTATATTAATGGAAAAGGTGAGTGATGCTGCTCATGTTAGCTCTTGGCCTAGGCCGAAATATGGATAAATGAATCAAAACTCCTTATTCATCCTGTTCACTAGGGTCTGGAAAAATGGGACATCGAAACGCTGTATGCGATGCTCTTATCTCCGTATTTCTGAACCATGAACAACATTTATTTTATGTCTAGTATGTAGATTGTGTTAAGCGATATTCAGGTACTAAGTTAAGAGTTGCGTTAAATGCTGTTTTGCAGACTTTCAGTTATTTTTGTTTCGTTGATGTTTGTTAGGCCCGTAGGCGCTATTTTCGACTTGGAAGTGCGAAAGATGGACTTTGACAAGTTTGAATCCGTTTATCACGATGTGCTGACTTGCATGGGACCTCCGGATGCCACGGTTATCATCACCGTAGACTCAGCCTCCGCTGACTCAGACATGTTCCCGCATTACATTGTCGACCAGGTCTTACAAAAGGTTGCGCAGCTGTGCATTCAGGTGTTGCTGGTCAAGTTCGTAGGCAAAGAAATGTGGCTTATTTTTAAAGACGGCGAAATGGCGTTGGCTGCATTGAGTATGGACAAGACGCAGGTAATTCTTTTTTTATAATTTTTCGATTTGCACGCTGTGAGCGATGGTCCGTCGTTAGGTGAACTCGAAAACTCTGAACGTCCGTCTGAAGTCAACTGACTGGGAATCAGAAGCAGAAAGAGAGTTGAAAAACGCGCGCTGTGTTGATTCAAACTTGGCAAGCGAATTGTTGGACGAAGGAAGATTCTCGACTCCTACTTTGGGTTTGTACAGCAGCAGGTTCTGTTTAGAGATAGTTATCAATATACAAATTTAGATGTGTATGAGGAGGAAGTGATCTGTACACACGTGGATAACAATTTGAGCGCTGTAAAAGTTCCAGAAACTTTTGTCGCCGTTGATTCCAAACCCGTTCCCCCGCGAAGACCACCGCCACCGAAATTTTCTAAGGATACTCTGCCTATGCCATGCAGCGATAAATTAGGTTTTCGCCACGTCGCTTCGGTGCCAGCGGTAGGTGTTTCGGTCTTGCAGACTTTTTCTTTTTGCACGCGAAAGTTTGACGCTTCTAAATATCAATTTGTACTTTTCAGAATGCCAGTCCAATTCATAAATCACGCTTTCCCAAAGGCAGACAGCATATGCTTCGTCATTCTCTTGTAAAATAAATATAGGCCACTTTGCAACTATGTCCGTCTCCTAGAATATTCCCATACACAGATTTGGCGTATTTACCATACACAGATTTGGCACAGATTTTGATATGAAGAGGTTGTTGGTTCATGACTACCAGTATCTAACTGGGATTTTGGTAAAATGTTCAGGCTCACCATAGCTGCTCTGATATGCGTTTTCTGCGGTATTAGACTGTCTTAGGATCCCAAATTTTAGTTTTGAACCGCTCCCTGCTTCTTCCTTTCCGTTCTTCGGTTTTCCCTTCGCATTTTTTCTTTTTACCCATATTCTCAGGTTTTAGGTTCAAATTTAAGGAGACTTTCTTTCCAGGTATGTTCAGATGTTGAGTAAGCTACAATTTCTGATACCTATGATTTTATCGTATTTCCATCTTTGTACTTCTCTATGATGTAAACGATGTAAACTAGAAGCTGTATTGCGTAATAGTGCCACTGTTTTTACACATGCTCCAGCCCCTCCCTCTATGTAATTTACTAGCCGTAGGCGTAAAGAAAACAACTGTATGAGACGCTTGTTCAAATTCCTGTTTTATCAGAATTGACTAGATCTTGAACTTTTAATAAGACGTACTCATAACTTTGTCATATTGAAGTTTGCAACAAGATCCTTGCTAATAATTAACATACGCTAGGTAAAGGCTTTTTGCGTGTCAGTGTATAGTTATGGCTACAAAAGGACCACATCAGGTCAATTTCGTGTAGAACAGGGCTAACGTTTTAGCTTGTTAGATCCTCGGCCTTTTTATTTCTGAGTTCCAAATCGATCGAGACAAAGAGGTTTTGATATTGGAAACAATCCTGTACCACTCCTTGCACCGCTGATGAACTGTTCCACTCCACTGACCTTCTGGTTTATTTACTCTTTTGCCACTGTACGGATAATTTTCGTGCAGATGCGGGCAAACAATACTGATGATCGATATGTAATGGTATAACTTTGTGCCCCCCCCCTTAAAATTACCCTAAACTAGTACATATTATTTATTTTTTCAGTGCTCTGCTCAGATTATTTGTTTTATTTAGAGAGAACTATTTTCTTGTTGTGTTGTTCATTCTGGGATAAAACGTAATGCGCGGTTTTATTTTACACATCGTAATGCACCCCCACCTTTCCCTAAAGAAGGACATCAACATTAGTGGTTGTTTCTACTGATAGTCCAGTCACTGGTATTGTGTAAAAGAAAACCCTCGCATTTTTATATTTTATCTGTTTTAGAGCATTTCTAAATTTTAAATTTACAGTTTACAGAAGCGACAGTTGACTGATCTTTTTTCATAATTAACGGGAATTATCTTTGCCATGTTTCGTGTCATTTCGTTTTTAAGCATCCATGTCGCTCCTTTAGTTAATCAGTTTATGCTCTAATCAGTTACTGCTGAAGTCCTCTGGTCATCCGTAAGCCATGCCACGGGGTCCATTGTAGCCAGATTCGAGCTGGATGCAGTTGTGTGGTTTACTTTTGCTATGATTTACATTTCATCTGATCTTGGCGAGTGATATGAGTTTCTCTTATTTTTTTTCAATGAGTTTGTGCCCCACCATGATGCGGTGCATAAACCTCATAGAAATTTACAGTTTATATCTTCTACTAATTTTAATGAGCTGCCCCGTAGGTTCAGCATATGCAGCCGTAAACTGCGCTTATCAGGTATCATGGTCTGCATCTCATACGCTCTGGCATGACCACATCACAGCACCAGGTTGTTCCCATTGTTCGCAGGTCAGCGGCTTGTTACCCTCTACACCAATGCAAGTTGAATTTCTTACCTAGGGAAGTTGACAGTTAATACAAAAAAAATTCGCTCCGTGCTGGAATTTGAATCAGGCACCTCTTACGCTCAAAGCAAACTGTTTATCCGCTCCCCCACAACCAACGGTTTATTGATGCATTGACTTCTTGAAAGATTTGTGCTGAATTATGTTTTGCGAAATTGTGATAGTTGTATTGCAAACACGTCGTGGTACGTATTTTGGCATTTTATTTTAATGTTGCGTTTTAGTTTCCTGATTATTTAAAAGAAGCTTCTCAGGCGGATAGAATGGTTTTGGACAAGGTTTCTGTCAAGAATCCACCTTTGCACTCATCTGTACTGAAAGAAAACCTTACTACGCGTTCGAATTTGGCATCGATTTCAGACGACGACTGGGCGAAGTTCACTCAAGCACGCTGCAAAGAGCACTGATAGTTACGTGCAACAATGCTTGACCACTGGCCATTTGGCCAGGGTCGCATTTCAGCGTTTTAGCCATTTGATTATTTTAGCCGACATAATCCTTAAAGACTGGATTACTGACGCAAGAGGTTATACCGGTCATTTCATTCGCGTTCATTCCGTTTCCCCAGTGTCAAGTGTGAGCATATCGTTTCGCAGTGCTTATGGTTCTTAGATACGATATTGACCAATTTCATCGAATTGGAATTTTAATTTATTGCTCTTGTTTGATATTTCGTATTATTGTCTTATGCGGCCAGAAAATTTTAACGAGCAGTTTACTTATGAATCTGTACCTAATTTAATTTTTTCTTTTATCGTTTTAAACTAAATTTTAATAAACTTCATTTTTCTTTAAAGTTGTTTCATTTCAGAGGTGATACTCAGAAGCAATCGGCGGAAAGCGTTTCCATCTGCTTTAAATTGTTGCGTTGTAGTTTCAAAGTTCATGATTTCTCTTTTATGCCGTTTCCTTTGATCCAGGTTTTTAAGTATATATTTTCTCTGATGGAAAGATTTACTATGAGGCACGTAAAAATAAGTCGTCCCAATTATCACTGGCCTGTAAGCATACCGTTTCAAACATCACAAGGGACTTCCACGTTAACGCTGGAAGTTTTCGGTAGAACATGTATAACTTATTGAAACAGGGTGAAAAGATCTGTTGCCGTTCGAATGTCCGCCTTCCTTACCTTACCTTTCGCAGTGATGCAATTTCTTGTTCCCATCTCATCATGAAATTATTGGTGGAGCGCTGATTTTCATTTCCATGCCATTAGCCAAGAGTGCCTTATTTTAAAGGCAGGAGCAAGCATAGTATGTCGTGTCACAGCCGGTTGTCTAACATCTGTGTGTTCACAACTGCTTATTTGTCGCAGCAAATCTCCATATTAGCCGTTGGTCTGGTCGCAAGCCGGGGACACACCAGATGGCCAACAACTATGCAGACTGAAATTTAGGTTTAAATCAAGTGGACAAATTACATCAGAGAATAGCGATTCTGCAACACTGAACATTCAATGCGAAATCCACATGAGAGATGCAGTATTGGTCTACCATGCATGGATTTCTCTTCTACAGGCGCATTATTTCGTCGTCAGGTGCTGAAACAGATCCTTGTCAACAGATGCCTGCCTCCGATGTCTCTCTAGAAATGGAAATTTGTCCAAAATGCTAGAACATCAAAACTTGATTCAGCGAAAAGTGATGTTATGAAACATTATGAAATTGACTGTATCTAGCAGAAGAAAAATGATTTCAAATCTGAAAGTTTACCTTTAGTAGCAAAAATTCGTGGAACAGATTGAATGTAAATACGTAAACAATTAAACCATACATTGTTGTTCTCTTTATCGTCTATTTTTACTAATGCTCATCCCGATTTATGTCAATGATAGATTTGAAATGATCAGTTAGCTGATCAAACAAAGGACTGATTTTATCGGTTTACTGGCATACTCCTAATTTTCGATACCACCATTGGGAAACAAAATTTCTCTTATACTACCGGATTCCCATGTCATACAGGCGTCGTTCCCTTGCTTCTAGGCTGCCGCAGTGCCATGGTATTTGAGCACCTGCTGTTCATTATGTATAAATGTACCTACGGATAGTGGCATATCGGCAGGTATCCGGACAGGATTTTCTTCGACCTTGCCTAGTGATGCGGTTTTGCATCCGTGTGATGCAGGAGCTCAAAAATACCATGAAGCCGTGGCGTGCTTAAATGGTCTTCTAGGCTTCTAGACGGAACGGTGCCTGTACTTCGTGTAAATCCGGTGGTAAAAGGTAAACGTTAAGACAGACAAAATGATAGTATTCGGGGTAAGAACAGCCGTGGCTGTTTCTTTCAGATCACTTTGATTGTTAATAATTAACAATAATAACTTCGGTAGCAGTACTTTCAACAAATGTTTAATTCTCATTTTATGAGGCCTTTGCACTGATTATTCTGTAGTACTTATGCCAATGTGCGTGAAGAATACTTTGATTATCAGAAAATTTTAATTCCGTAGTTGCAGGCTTCCATAGTAGAGGACACAGTTTACTGGATGACTGAAGATTAAAAAAGTATTAACACTGTCTGTATTAAGAGAAAGTGACGTGCTTATTATTTTGTTGTAAAACTAAATTTTTGAAATGTAATTAGTATTACAGTGAAGCTTTTACGTTAGACCGGAAAACCTATATAAGGCTTAACAAATTAAAATATTACATATGCCTAAAAAATAATTAAAGCTAGTCTTTCATTTCTGAATCTGATTATCGAGTCGAAAGTCAATTATCAAGTAGAATTAGATGAAATTAATAGTAGTGTAATGTTCCACAGAGCTATCGGAATTTTAATGTTATGTTCCTTTATCAGGTTTTTGATTACTGACTGATGAAGGAATACCGTACTAGGGTTGTAAAAGCACACTGATAAATAAAGGTTTCTATTTATCCTATTCATTTCCTGGTTACTTAATCCAGACTGCGTTTACCGTTCTGAACTTGATGATTACAAGTGGTGAATGGAAAGTAAATCAAACTTGTCTTTTATTGATGTAGTTGTTCCTAGAGTATTATACGAAACATCGATTTTTCAGTCATATCGTTTGGCCCTGAATTTTCCTTAGTCCATAAAACGTCTTCCTTTTGCTTCAACGATCCACAGTTTTTACGATAACTCTACGATCTTTCTTAGTCTGCGAAGGTGATAAATCAAGAAGACACATCATGTGCATGATTGCTTTGACGACGATGAATAACGAAATACCAACGCAAAATTTCCCTCACCATACTCGCCAACAATTCGAACACAGGCGAACCTTTTCTGGTAACTGGTCATGTATTGCTATGTATAACAGAATTGCAGAAATCTTTTATGAATAATGTAGCATAGCAAACATATCATACATATAATCTCTGTAGGTTGGATCATTCTCGATATGTCTTTAGGGAAGAAAGCAGGCATAGCATAATAATGCTACTATATAAAGCGCAGTCAGGCAGCAACTGTACTACAGAGGTCTAAATTGCGACAATGGAAGTTGTTTCATCACATGGCTCTAATGCTCTGACATGACTGAGGTACAATTAACCATTGAAATAAACATGGACTAACCCTAAAACATGCTTTAACAAAACATGGCTGCCTTTTTCGTCTTCAACCGTGGTGGCCATTTAATCTGCAGAAGAATCGCGCTGATCGCAACCAAGGGTGGCATTCCAGTGCTATATGCAGATAATGCCAAGACTACGAGAAATGGCCTCAGTTATCGAGGCTGATTCGTCAACCAGAAGGAACCATCTGCGCTTGACAGACAGTTGGCCAGCTGACGCAAGACTAGGAAGAAACCGACCAATTGTGGAGACTAATTAGTCCATTGTCAGTGACGAACGCCATAAAGGGGGCCATGTCTGTGTGCTGGATGTTGACCAAGTATGTGCGAAGTGTGCAGTGCGTGTGTCTTTGTACTTTCGAAATATGCCACTTTCCAAGGAGCCGCAATCAAGTGTTAGAAAAATACAGAATGAAAATTATGCATGAAAATTATTAGTCTGATGTTCTAAAAATATATACTTACCCATCAGGCAAGAATTAAATAATTCTTTAAAATATTCACAACTCTCGTGCGAGATGCTGACTTCTGCAGATTGTCTGCCGCTGCTCAGATGCATTTGTTGACGTCTGCCAGTGGTGTATATAGGCCACGTTTGCAGGGCTGGCATTCTGAAAATGTCCTCGTGAAGGCAAGCGGCTACAATGAAATAACAAGCTACACGTGCTACATCTGATTGTTTGGTAACTATGCGCATTCTGGTTGGTTAACTGATATTGATAAGGCTGATATTAAGGAAAAATAAGACAAAACGACTTTATGAAACACATCCACCATGAAAGTTTCAGCTTGAATCTTATGGATTTTCTTCAAGGTAAGTCTTGTCACGTGATTCGATAGTTGGCTGAATCATCTGCATTTGATGTTTCAACCGTGCCGCGAGGTTAGCCTTCGGTTTGTACTGCCGGTAAAGTAGTTTTCTGGTGACATGGATTGAGAGGGTCATCGAATCCGCTCATGGCTAGTATTTTTAGTCATGATTGACACTGTCTCAGTACAGGATGATTGACGCATTGTTGATGTGCCTGATTAGCTAATTTTTTTCTTTGATGATGCCGGTGCACTCCCAAGCTTCTGTGGTTGTTTAACACACAGTGCTGAAATGACGTGCCCTCACTGACATAGCTGTGACATGGTCAGAATTGCGTGAGAACAGAGGAGATTGCACTCTGAGCACAGGTTAACATCATTGACACCCCGCAAAAATCGTCCAAGACCAGAAGATATGGAACAAGACAGAACGTAATGCATAGGCTATCTGAGCTGCAGTTGACATGTCGTACTGGTGTTGATACCAACTAAATCAAAATGCTGCTGCTCGTGATCTCCTTAACCATGAAAACCAGTCATTATCTCTGAAATGATTGACTAACGAGTCATGGTAGTCGAAGACTGCGAAGATCTCGTTACGGTCTTCGAGTGGATTGGGCTTACAATGGGAGATTTCGACAACAGGTCCGACCAAAAGGGATTGAAATAGGGCGGAGCTAATCGTATTTTTCTGCAAAATAAAGACGATCTTCATGTCGTAGTCCTACCCTCTGGACAACAGACAATTTTCAATACTGCATTGTTGTAAGTGATGGAAAAAAGTAAGCATTTCGCATTTCAGCGAAGACGATAAATTTACCCTGTAGCAGCAAAGCTGGTCCACAGATTTATAATCAGTTTGCTGAATTCTTTTTCTTGCTCTGTGTAGACATTGGAATGCCTAAGCGGTCCACCGAAAACGTGTTGGATTTCGTGACCGTGAGTGGTGCCCATCCAAGCGGGCAATTTGATCGAGCTGGATCTCTCGGCGAAGTGGTACACGAACACCGCCGCTTCTTCATGTTGCTGCGGTACGATCTCTGCTGTTTTTGTGACGCTGCATTTGAAAAGGAAGTCTCCTACTATCTTGGCTAAGATATCCCGGTAAATGTACGGAAAGTCGGACAGTACTGTGGTGTCGGCGGAGTACATCTTCAGTTCCTGGGGCAAGAAATGCGATGCGATTGACTTTTTGATCAGCATGGGTAAGTCAGGGAAAATAACGTCGAGCGATTCCAGCATCTGGTGGTAATTGATCCTTCCTTCATTCTTTCGAGTGAACAGTTTTGGCAGGTACAGCAGCAGCCAGAGTGTTCCCTCGTCTTTCACCGAGCCAATCAATACGGGGCACGTTTTGATAGCACCCTTTTTCAGATTTGCGAACAGGTTTCCACGGAAAAAGATCTTGTCCTCCGCCGGAACGAGCGCCTGAGAGAGGAAACTTTGAGAGCGCTGTTCGGACATCTTCTGGATTTTCTCCGCCTCCACCTAGCGCAGACAGTTGACGCGCTCTTCCGTGGTACCCTTGCTGCAGCCAACGTATTCTGCTAGTTTCAACGACGCCTCTCGAGCCTTGCTGACGGAAGTGTGAGCCCACGGAGCAATGATGCCTCCACTCTGAATGATGGCCCTATGAAAGTACTTCCAGCTGTCCTTCGCGAGCATGTGAGCTGAAACAAACACGGCTCCGGCGCTGTTGCCGAAAATCGTCACGTTGTGTGGGTCTCCACCGAAAAATTGAACGTTCCTGTACACCCAGCGAAGGGCCAGTTGTTGGTCCAGTAGACCCAAATTTGACGGCACTTCGTCATCGTCGAGATTCAGGAACCCAAAGGGCCCTAATCGATAATTAACACTGACAACTACGACGTCGCTGTGAATGGCAAGCACCTCTCCGTCGTAATAATCGGTAGACGGATTTCCGCTAAGAAATCCTCCACCGAATATGCACACCATTACTGGCAGGTTTTTCTTCTCTGCAGGCGCCCAGACATTTACACTAAGGCAATCTTCGTTCAGTTTCACATTAAAATTCGATTTTGCAGTTCCTTCGAAACCTAAATGAAGTAGTGTTTGATTTTACACATTGGGAATCATTTTAATGTGCTAATAAATTCGAATTCTTTCAGAAATGAAGACGAAATTGTTATCACTTGCTTAATCGACCGGCTAAGTAATGACCTGCGGAAAGCGCCTCCACGATTGAGTCAAATTATTTTTGGCCGAAGTTCAGACTGGCACAGGATCGGGAATGTTAAAGATGCTGTTTGATGCTGGTGTCTATGCTACTGATTGAATGCGTTCATCTAAACTTACTGATTGAATCAATTCAATATATTGAAATTTCGTTACTTTAAAATCTTTGAATGTATGCAAAGCTGTAAATCTGCGACTTAAGATAAAGGGTCAACTTGGGACTGCACTTTGCTTTTGCAAGTTTGAAATCCCCGCGACCCGAAAGGAGAAGGACGATGGAAGATGAAGATGAAGTTTGAAATCTTCTTTCAAGTAGGAAAAATTTAGATGTATCAGCTGTATGCCATTTCAGTCGATTCTTCCTCCGATGTTGGTTTCATTCAGATGTTGATACAGATATCCGGTGGTACGTACATGTACCCTCAATTTACCGAAAAATTAATATTCTTCCTCATTTACTTTTCTTCTTTCTTACTTGCGCTTATGTGACATGTAAATCCGCCAAGGCCACATTGTACGGCGAGTTGTCCAGATCCATTGCTTCTAATTGCAATTAAAAGATGACACTTAAAGCAGGTTACAAGCCGACAGTCTTGGAGCACTTTCTGACCTGCCTCTCTCGTATCATCTTATTTGCTATAAAATATTATTTCTGTCCTGCGTTAACTTGAGATAAGCTAAATTAATAATGTAACTCTCCGACACCAGATTTTATAGTGTATCACTTTGCCTCCTTGTCTGTAGTTACCCGGAAAGACATTGAACCAAACCACGGCTCCATGCTATTTGAGCACCTGCAGTGCCAGGTTCATTTCGTAGCAAGGAGACGGTTCGCTAAGCCGTGAAATTTGGTCCTGGAGGAAACATACCTCATTTGACATACTCTGACGTACAAACGTATTTTGATTTTCAAATATGGAGTACCAGCTCCAGAAGCAACGTTCTTAAGGAGCGAGAGGTGGCTCTATGGAAAACAAAATGAATGGTGATCGAATAGCATGGTGCCGTAGCCTGCTTAGGCAACCAGGAGGAAGGGAGCAGTGCAATACGGCATAAGCTTTGATCTTGAACGATGGCTTGCCTCAGCATAATTTTTTATCGACCAGGACGAGGTTGTTGAGCGTCTGAAGGCAGCTTCTGCACATATTCAATAAGACTCTTCTTGTTTTGTGACTTCAGAGTTTTTTGCTCACCACCAGTGCCAAGTTGCAATGTTACTTATATAAATGCTGTAAAAACTTTTTTTTCTGTTTAGCCTTGATGCAGATCTCAAAATTTCATGACTATAGGCATCAACAGGTGCCTGGCCTGGAATGGTAAAACGGCGGTAAAACATATTGGAGTTATTTTCAAAATTTTTGCACGTGGGAACCGCCCACCCAATGGCCGTAAACGCGTTGGAGGACAGCTCTAAACACTAGAACACTTCGTTGAGGCAGACAGACGCAGACTTGGTGATGAGGAAAATTTACTTTGCCGCAACGGTGAACTTTGCCCGATGTCAATCTAAGATGCCATTATTAAACGCCAGACATCATAAACCTGGGCTACTCTGCTGTTAAAGCCCTGCTAGCGTTTGATGACGATGACATCAAAAGTTTCAGGTCAACGTTCAAGCCAAATGACAATACGGACCTAAACAGTGGAACTAAACGGAGATGCCATTATTAAATTCCTGCCTGTTTTCTCCATTGTTTCGTCTTTCACATACGTGTTTTATTTCGTTCAAGCGTTTCCCTTACGCAGAATACCGAAGACATCGGTTGTGCCCTGCAGCTAGCTGTCACATGGTTACCTCATCTTAATAACTCTATTTAACACTCGTTAGCTGAAGGCGTTCACTTCCAAATTGATGAACGACAGCTGGAAAGCGGGCTTCGGCTATTCTGCCTCTTCCATTTCTTTTATCATTTATTTCCTTTATTGCAGGATCACTTATTCAAGTTGTGCAAAACATCTGCACTTGATTTTCAGATTCAAAGTGATGATAAAACGTTTTAATCTAATGTTTAAACTAGTTTTTATTAGCAACGCTCGGTGAACAGCATGAAATTCTGCCGTGTTTGGATTAACCTTGCTGGATATTTGACTTTTTAGTAGCTGATGCTTTGCCAGAATGGTTGAACTATCAGATAATGTAACTATGCACACATTATCATATAATCTTGGTACACTCTTTGAAGTTAGAATAAAAAACGAAGCACATATCTGCCACCTCTTTACCAGAACTTTATTCGTCGAGCGTTTCAGAGTTTATAATGGTGGCTTTCATTACACCTTACCTTATTGTTGAGGTTAGGTGGTTTGGACGTGTAGTGTCACGTTGGATTAGAAGTTTGTCTTTCGGACTATAGTTATCGTAAGTTTACCGTACTTACGGCGTAAATTTTCTCTTATCTATCTATCTATCTATATACATACATACATACATATATGTATATATATATGCCTACGAAGAATAGCGCTTCGTAGGTGACAAGTGGTTCAACAGGAATTTGTTCGGTCATGCCCAAATATGTGGCTTTAATTATATGCACTGCAGGCCCTTAAATGCGACAGAGCAGGGGTTGCTTCAATGGCCACTACAAGCAAGGGGACGGAGCACATACAGTGCGTGTAAAATCTGAGGAATAAGCGGGAGGTCGATCATTTTACAATTGACAGCTACAGGCGTCACAAATTTACAACGGAAAAAGAACGGTTAATAAACATAAGGCCTACCACTATTAAATCATCGAACAAACCGTTC